AGTCTGGTCGGGGTCAGGCTGGAGCGCAGCAGGTAGTGCGTGCTGTCCGACGAGCCGCGGCGCTGTACCGGCAGCAGGCTGGTGACGGTCGACAGCGACTGTGAAAACTGGGTCTCGGGCGTCACGCCGGCGTGTGCTGGCGGCGGCGACGGCACAGCTACATCGCTGCCGGAGTTGCCGGTGGATAAATCACCGGCGGTTTATAATAGATATACTCCGGATGAATATGCCCTATGCGGATAAATATACTGTGGAGCAGACGCGGTTGCGGTGTAAAACGGAACACGAGGATGAAGAAGATCATTTGGCCGCGGGCAACTGCCGCTGGCCGGCTACGGCTGACCGTGATGACGGTCATTACTGGTGATGACAGTGAAGCCCGCGACGCGTCCGTCTCCGGGCAAGCGCGGCCGCGCCATACGGTCGCATTCAGCTGCCCAGTCCCCCAATGTGTGATGTCCAGCCTGAACACAGGCGCCGCTCCATCCAGGAGACAGGTGCGTCTCTGCCTCAGGTCGGGCTCGGGCTCCGCGGTCGTTCGGCTGAGCCGCCTGCCAGGTGTCGGTCCAGTCGAGTGGATCAACCGGTGGGTTCCGGAACGAATTGTTCTTACAATATCCAGTAGTGAGGACTCTGATGGTACGGCTAGATTCTAGCTGCATCTTTTCCAGACTAAAATAGTGTTTTGTGTTTGTGAAACCACGTTTATATTTCAGATTTTTATTAGAACTATGCAGCCTGTGAGCGAAATGTTGTTAGCTTTGCGTGAGCTGAGCGAGACAGTAAATTACTTGCAGACAGGGAGTAGGTACAAAAACGGCGCAGAAGAGTCAAAATATTGTTCCGACTTTTATTTACAACACTACGGTAACAGGACAAATCCCTATTCCCAATACACAGAGGTATTTGTTTATTGGGGATGCGTATATCGGGAGGTGGATATGTGCAGATGAATCTGCACGAAACAAAATGTGTGTTTTGTGACTGGTGATTCCATTACATGTTCTCCATTCTCTTAACTTTTCGTAATCCGGATTACTGTGTGCATTGGTAAATAATTGCAGTGCAATGGATTGTTTGGAAGAACTTAAAATACCTGCATCTTACTGGTGCGCAACTGGAGATGAAGATAGTATCCTTCTTGCGACAAGGCCTTGGTGCAGGTGAGATATTCATGATGTTGTTGTGTTGCTGAGTAGTGCAGCAAGGGTAGGTTTTAATTGGGTGTGAAATTAACGATGTCATGCACAATGGTCGCTACCTTATCCCTGATGAGCTGCTACTATCATGCAAAGTAATGCCAAGTAATCTAAGGTTACAGGCGTTTGAAATGATGCCCCTGATGCATTCAGTTGGTCATCATTGTAGTCTCTTGTATTTAGGCTACCAGGCCCCCCAAAATGTCCACCTTATGCAAATTGTATTCATAAGTTGAGGTTAACAGCAGGAAAAATCAAATATAATGATTTTTTGTTCAGTTTTTAAGTTCTGTGATTCCTGCTGTTTGGTGTAAATTGGGGTTCTTATGTTGTAAAAGTGTGGTAATATGTCAATATTTTACATAAAAGGTGCAGAATGTTTTTGAACCATCCATTTTTTGTACTTTTCGCTGAATTTATTCATTCCTGTTATGTTGATATGCAGCCATGTCATCCTATGAAATGTTTATCCTGTATTTGTATTTGTTGTATAGCTTGAAAGCAGTTAACATACATTCACATATTTGCTGCCTTACCAACTAACAAGCCCTGAAACTGCAGGGAGCTAAGTGATCTGGGAATGCTGCCCACCTGGTTTCCACAACATGACCAGCTCTCACCAGAGGAGGTGCAGTCGGCCGTCCGAGAACGACGCCCGCCTGACCCCAGCTGGACCTTTGTCAACCTCTGGGTTAGTTCCAGCCACTGCTGGGGATGTGGCAGGGTGTTAGCTCCTGGCAGCTGGGAATGCTGCCAGCAGCTAATAGGGTGCTGCCTGCATAGAGAGTGCTGCCATCTGCTGCATTGTGGAGTGGTTTTAACTGTGAGTTTTCCTTTGATCTGTGCACTTCCTGCTGCTTTCTTTTGCTGGCTTGATCTTTGATCATTTTAGAAATATACTTGTATCTTGACTCTGTTTGAAAGTAATTGGTGCATTCAACCATTCTGGCCCAGATTATCCAGGTTGTAGTTTGCTGTTGTGCCGATTTTACCAGTGTCTGTACCTGTCTGTTTCTATGTGCATGTTGTGCCACTTTCCACATTGCCAGCATCCAGTTCTTGTACTGTGTGGTTGATAATCATGTGACTGTGTACCACAGACGATCCCGAAGCCGGACGACAGGCCGAGCCTGCTGCCGCGACCGCAGCCAGAGTCGGCGCCGGACGTGCTCCGGCCCGACCCGTGGACGCCACGTACTCGGCGCTGCTGCGGCAGGTGGCGCGAGACGGCTTCTGCGCCAGCTGGCGGGCCATGGCGGCTCGCTACCCGGGTATGGCAGCTATTCGCCGGGCTTTGGCCACGGCCGGGGGGGGGGGGATACGCTCGAAAATTTGCATCCGCATCACCACCTTTGCTGCGTTAGCACGACCGTGTTCGTCACTGGCGTCATCATTGGCGGTGTTTCCGTACTACGTAAGAGTCCCTAGCTATGACTGCTGCTGTGGTCAAATTGCTGCTGGCAGTCTGAAAGAAAGTCCAGTCAGTCTGCAAGCCCACAACCTGATCCAGCGACTAATTGCTATTGGCTTATGAACAGCAGGCTGGCCAACTGGAATGGGTCTGTCGCGCACGGGGGGAACCGGTTAAATCACCATGAACCAGCTGCACCTGTGCTGTCCTTCGCCTGGGAGCAGGGCTTCTCTTTGATGCCCTCGGACCCCGTTGCCGCTCGTGCACGCGCCACACCACGTCGCTCACGCAGGCGGGAATCTTTAATCGCAGACAGTCTGCATCCAGCCCCAGCAGTGGTGGGCGCTCGCCGTGCCAGGCCGCTGCTGGCGCCGCCCTGTCTGGCCGCCCCGCACCGCCGCGTGCTCTCCGAGACATCTGGCGGTGACCGCTGACGCGCGCCGTCGGTCCCCAGATGTGTACCCGGCAGAGCTGGAGCCGGGCCCGGAGCGGAGCCGGAGCCGGAGCCGGAGCCGGAGCGGCTGCCCGCGGATGCCGTGATGCGGAGCTCCTCCTGAGGACGTACGGCCGCGAGCCGGCCGTCGTGGCGCCGAGTCGGTCGGCGGCGAAGGTGAAAGGTCGCGGCGGTCCGCGAGGTGGCGCTGGAGTCGGCAGTAGAGGCAGGCCACTGAACTGTTATGGACATGCCGCCATCCTGAGGTTGGATGGTTTACTGTTTTGCGAACTGCCTGTGTGACATTGCTTGGTGCGCGGTGTGCAAACACTGCCTGAAACGGGTAACCAATCACGCACGAGACAGTTGGCAGGTGTGTTCAGTTCGAGCATGTCGTTGGTGGTGCGTGCGTGGTGCGTGCGTGCGTGCGTGCGTGGTGCGTGCGTGCGTGCGTGCGTGCGTGGTGCGTGTGCGTGCGCGTGTGTGCGAGGCGTGTGCGTGTGCGTGTGCGTTGTGTGTGTTTTGTAACGCTACTCTCTGTGGCCAGTACCTACAGCCTGAGTTTTCTGCTGTGCGCGATCCGTGCTGTGTCTAATCCGCTGTTTTCGACATGTCGTGCCGTGCTTCTCTCATGCCACCGTGTTCCGCACGAATCCCTCCAAGTTTCAAACTGTGTACATTCTCACCATGTCGAACATTCCTCTGCTTGCGGTGGCTACCCATAACCCTTGCACGGCACCCCGCCGCCATTCCGTCTCCTCGCCCAGCTGTCACCGCCCTCCGCTGGTCTCCCCGCTCCCCCGCGGCTGAGAACCCGGCGAGATTGCAGTAGTAAAAGTCCCCGCTGACGCCGCGCGTGTTGGCTCCCCGGAGGCCCCGCCGCCGGGCCGAGAGCCGTTCTGCG